ATCTCTACTGCGCAGACTCTGGCTCCAAACGAATCTCTACTGCGCAGACTCTGGCTCCAAACGTATCTCTACTGCGCAGACTCTGGCTCCAAACGAATCTCTACTGCGCAGACTCTGGCTCCAAACGTATCTCTACTGCGCAGACTCTGGCTCCAAACGTATCTCTACTGCCCAGACTCTGGCTCCAAATGACATTATTTACTCAAGATGGCACCGGCCATACTGAGATGCTTTGGCTTCACTTTTCTATAGTGGAAGGAAGTGAAGACGCGTCGTCCATCTTTTTTTACAGTCTATGGTTATAACTCACCATAATTGTGATTATTCGTACAAAGACGCAGACAAATTCGCCAACACACCTGGGTCACATTGTCATCATCTGCACTGTTGTATCGGGCCACATCAGGAGACACTTTACACTTGGACTCGACGAAGCGCAGCTGGGTATCAGGAGCGCTGAAGCTGTTGGGGAAGTAGTTAGGAGCTCCCCCTGCAGGACAGGAAAGGAACTGCTGTTGTATTTGCCAAACCAATAATTCAACGACCAATGAATTGCAAGCGTTTGGGTCACATGTCCTGATCAGGCATTCCAGACAGATCTCGTCACTTTTAAGAGACTTAGGGCTAGATTTACTAAACAGGGCAAATTAGCGGTAGAGCGCAATTCCATAAACGCGCAGATGGGAGGGGAAAATTCTGCATGTGATTTACTGACAATGCGCGTCTTTAGTAAATCCTACTATTTTAACGCCAAAAGATGGTTTGCGCTGGTGCAAGCTGTTAGTAAATCTGGCCCTAATACTATTTCTTACTCAAAACCAAACCCAATATGTGACATTCCGTCTTGTTCTGCAGTGTTTGTAGTGTGTGTCACTCACCCTGGTTGTCAAACATGCACATGGGTCCGTCTCTCTGGTAGTTTGCCACGCGGGTGCGGTAGGGGCAGTTGACGGACAGCTGGAGGTAATTCGCTCCGAGCCGATGCCTATGTGTGTCTGGATAGGAGAAAAGACGCCCCTGCGGCGACAGAATTTAGTAATTACAGCATTTAGTCATTCTAGTCATTCTTGCGATTAGTTATTAGTCACTGACGCTTTAATCCAAAGTGATTTACAGGACACTTATTACAAGTACGCAGAGCTTAAGTGCTTTGCTCAAAGACATAATAGTGAACAAGCATCCTTTTGTGCATCATAAGCCTGTGCAAAGACGAACTTGTGAAATGTGTCGCTAATGCTAATGCTTAATAGGTTTTGTGACACAGTAGTACAAACATACCTGCAACATCTTGTCCGGGCTGGGCTCAATGCCAGGTGGCATGTTACTGGGATCAAATGCCAGCTGCTCGACCTCAGCGAAATAGTTGATAGGGTTTCGGTTCAACACGAGGCGTCCCACAGGAATCAGAGGGAAGTCTTTATGGGGCCACACCTGAGAGACACAGAGCCAGTCATCGGGATGGACACACCTACATACTCATTCTTTATTAGGACCACTTCATCAAAACTATGAAAGAATGCAAATGGAAGTATGGGAATTGTGTAGTGACCAATTCCAGACATTAGTGTAGTGCACTGGTTCTCAACCAGGAGGCCATGGCCCACATACATACAGTATAATTACATATAATATACATTACATATAATTTATTTTATATTAATGTTCTATTCATCTTAAAATGCTTTTTTTTTAGTACCGGTAATTTTGAGTGTTTTTGCCATTGTATTAGTTTTATTTTTGTGTGTACTAGAGGTACATATCAGCCTAAATAGGAGGGCCTTCAAATATTGTTTTGAACAAAGGGTGCCTTTAAGTCAAAGAGGTTAAGAACCACTAGCGTAGTGTCTTGAGGTGCATTCAGGGATGCGGAAACCTTAGTCAAATCAAACGGATTCCACTGCCAGTTCTCCGCCTGCTCAAAGGTCATGACTTGGATGTAGAGAGTCCAGGATGGGAAGTTGCCATTTGAGATGGCATTGTAAAGGTCTCTGATGGAGTAATCCGGGTCGGTGGATGCCAGACGATCAGCCTCTTCAACTGGCAAATTCTTGATGCCCTGATCAGTCTGAAAGACAAGAACGAGCATTAAAGGTGACATATCATGAAAATCTGACTTTAAAGTGATTTACAGGACACTTATTACAAGTACGCAGAGCTTAAGTGCTCTGCTCAAAGACAAAATAGTGAACAAGCATCCTTTTGTGCATCATAAGCCTGTGCAAAGACGAACTTGTGAAATGTGTTGCTAATGCTAATGCTTAATAGGTTTTGTGGCACAGTAGTACAAACATACCTGCAACATCTTGTCCGGGCTGGGCTCAATGCCAGGTGGCATGTTACTGGGATCAAATGCCAGCTGCTCGACCTCAGCGAAATAGTTGACAGGGTTTCGGTTCAACACGAGGCGTCCCACAGGAATCAGAGGGAAGTCTTTATGGGGCCACACCTGAGAGACACAGAGCCAGTCATCGGGATGGACACACCTACATACTCATTCTTTATTAGGACTACTTCATCAAAACTATGAAAGAATGCAAATGGAAGTATGGGAATTGTGTAGTGACCAATTCCAGACATTAGTGTAGTGCACTGGTTCTCAACCAGGAGGCCATGGCCCACATACATACAGTATAATTACATATAATATACATTACATATAATTTATTTTAGCCTAAATAGGAGGGCCTTCAAATATTGTTTTGAACAAAGGGTGCCTTTAAGTCAAAGAGGTTAAGAACCACTAGCGTAGTGTCTTGAGGTGCATTCTGGGATGCGGAAACCTTAGTCAAATCAAACGGATTCCACTGCCAGTTCTCCGCCTGCTCAAAGGTCATGACTTGGATGTAGAGAGTCCAGGATGGGAAGTTGCCATTTGAGATGGCATTGTAAAGGTCTCTGATGGAGTAATCCGGGTCGGTGGATGCCAGACGATCAGCCTCTTCAACTGGCAAATTCTTGATGCCCTGATCAGTCTGAAAGACAAGAACGAGCATTAAAGGTGACATATCATGAAAATCTGACTTTTCCAGGTTTTAAGTGCTATAATCAGGTCCCCGCTGCATCTACCAACCAAGGAAACGTGAAAAAGATTAACCCAGTAACTTTGTTTAGGTAAGCCTTTTTCTGCAAGCATCTGGAAAAATGAGCGTGTCTGATTTTGCTCCCTTGGTGACGTGGCAAAGGGATCTCATTATAATATTAATCTGTAAGTTTCCACCCACTGCGCCGTCATCTGAAAGCTGAATAAATACGCTTTCCATTGATGTATGGTTTGTTAGGACAATATCTGGCCGAGATACAACTATTTGAAAATCTGGAATCTGAGGGTGCAAAAAAATCTAAATATTGAGAAAATATCCTAATGATTTTTGGCATAAAAAAAAAATCGATAATTTTAACCAATACAATGTATTGTTGGCTATTGCTACAAATATACCGGTGCGACCTATGACTGGTTTTGTGCTCCAGGGTCACAAATAAATGCAGTAAGCTTAAGAGATTTTCAAAAACTAAAAACGTGTTACCTGCTCCTTTGGCGTGCACGACTCTCTCTGGTATCCGCTCTCGGTCGAAATGGGCCATTTCATCAGTAAAAACCACGTCCTGGACCAGCAGTGGTCCACGCGGGCCTGCCGTCATCAGGTTTAACTTGTCCCCTACCGGGACTCCGGCTCCTGTGGTCAGGACATCTGGCCGCTGGGAAAATAAAACTAAATTAGACAGAATAGCAACACAAAATCAAATTAAAATAACATCTAAACAAACCAAATCATTTTATATATTAAACACAAAAAAATATGTATTTAAAAAAGATTATTCAATAGTCAGTCCTTTCAAATCATTTCATAATATTAGTAATATTTTAAATTCTCAAATATTTACTTTATTTTATATTGTCTGAATACATTATAAATATCATTGTGATTATTTGTTATTAAACTAATTTGACAGTGTGACACTGAACTAAACAAATTTG